ATCCTTACCTGGCATTTACTGAGAAACTACTTAGTTTCATGCCGGCTCCGTCCTGTGATGCTCAGTAATTTCAGCATCTGTTGCCATCTGAAGTTCTGGGTCCACTTTGGCTTTCGCTGTGGAGACCCTCCTTGCAGCCACAGCCAGGATGGTAGAAGTTTCTCAGATTGCTCCCTCCCCCCGTTGGCCTGCGACTTGCCGCTGTAATGGAGCCCCTGTGTGCTGTGGATCGCTCGCACCGCACCATGCATCAGCCTCGTCCCTCTGTGCAGCGCTCGGATCTCCCTCATTAGGCCTAAATTTACCTCCGCCCTACACAAACGTGGCCTTAGCTCATTTTTATTGTTGTAAATTATTTATGAGGGAGATGCTGAATCTTGAAACGAGGTCCGAGGGAAATTAATCCCACGTTACTTTTATCTTGCTGTACTTCTCTCCCCCTGCTTCACTTACTGGGCTATGGCCAGGGGAAGAAGAGCTTTCCATTTTTACTATAATTAGTGTCGAAACTGGTTTTCCAGTCGGATATGGGATGGGATGGCGGCGTCCCTCTGCACAGTGTCATGGGAAGCAGACCTGGCGGGGAAGGAGGGCAGAGGTCCTGTTAGGCTCTGCCTCTGCCAGCTGCATGGTGTCAGAACGCCAGGCCTCAGCTTGCCCTCCTGTACCATAGGGACGATGCAACCCAGCCACCTCCCAGGTTTGGTGTGGGCATCGGTGGAGAAGCAGCCTGAGAAAGCTTCGTGAGGATCGCAGGGCTCTGTACACACACGCAGCGGGGGGGGTGTGCAGCAGGGGTGTGCGTGTGCAGCAGGGGTGTGCGTGTGCAGGGGGGGTGTGTGTGCAGCGGGGGGGGGTGTGCAGCGGGGGTGTGTGTGTGCAGCAGGGGTGTGCGTGTGCAGCAGGGGTGTGTGTGTGCAGCGGGGGGAGGGTGTGTGCAGCGGGGGGCGGGGTGTGTGCAGCGGAGGGGGTGTGTGCAGGAGGGGTGTGTGTGTGCAGCGGGGGTGTGCGTGTGCAGCGGGGGGGTGCGTGTGCAGCAGGGGTGTGCGTGTGCAGCGGGGGGGTGTGTGCAGCGGGGGGGTGTGTGCAGCGGGGGTGCGTGTGTGCAGCGGGGGTGCGTGTGCAGCGGGGGTGTGTGTGTGCAGCAGGCATGTGTGTGCAGCAGGGGTGTGTGTGTGCAGCAGGCATGTGTGTGCAGCAGGGGGGTGCGTGCAGCAGGGGTGCGTGCAGCAGGGGTGCGTATGCAGCAGGCGTGTGTGTGCAGCAGGGGTGTGTGTGCAGCAGGCGTGCGTGTGCAGCAGGGGTGCGTGTGCAGCAGGCGTGCGTGTGCAGCAGGCGTGTGTGTGCAGCAGGGGTGTGTGTGTGTGCAGCAGGGGGGGTGTGCAGCAGGGGTGTGTGTGTGTGCAGCAGGGGGGGTGTGCAGCAGGGGTGTGTGTGTGTGTGTGCAGCACGGGTGTGTGTGTGTGCAGCAGGGGTGTGTGTGTGTGTGTGCAGCAGGGGTGTGTGTGTGTGCAGCAGGGGGGGTGTGCAGCAGGGGTGTGTGTGTGTGTGCAGCAGGGGTGTGCGTGTGCAGCAGGGGTGTGTGTGTGTGTGTGCAGCACGGGTGTGTGTGTGTGCAGCAGGGGTGTGTGTGTGTGTGCAGCAGGGGTGTGTGTGTGTGCAGCAGGGGTGTGTGTGTGTGCAGCAGGGGTGCGTGTGTGCAGCAGGGGTGCGTGTGCAGCAGGGGTGTGTGTGTGTGTGTGCAGCACGGGTGTGTGTGTGTGCAGCAGGGGTGTGTGTGTGTGTGCAGCAGGGGTGTGTGTGTGTGCAGCAGGGGTGTGTGTGTGTGCAGCAGGGGTGCGTGTGTGCAGCAGGGGTGCGTGTGCAGCAGGGGTGCGTATGCAGCAGGCGTGTGTGTGCAGCAGGGGTGTGTGTGCAGCAGGCGTGCGTGTGCAGCAGGGGTGCGTGTGCAGCAGGCGTGCGTGTGCAGCAGGCGTGTGTGTGCAGCAGGGGTGTGTGTGTGTGCAGCAGGGGGGGTGTGCAGCAGGGGTGTGTGTGTGTGCAGCAGGGGGGGTGTGCAGCAGGGGTGTGTGTGTGTGTGTGTGTGCAGCACGGGTGTGTGTGTGTGCAGCAGGGGTGTGTGTGTGTGTGTGCAGCAGGGGTGTGTGTGTGTGTGCAGCAGGGGTGTGTGTGTGTGCAGCAGGGGTGTGTGTGTGTGCAGCAGGGGTGTGTGTGTGTGTGCAGCAGGGGGGTGTGTGCAGTTAGAGATGGAGGATGCTGGTGGGGAGCTGCTGAGGGCGAACCGGGAGTTGTGGCGAGTAGGCCCTGGGATCGTGCTCTAGACCAGCATGGCCTCTTGCAAGGCAGGTTCATGCTGGTTTTGAACACCCTGCGCGGCCTCGCCCTCCCCGGCAGATGTGCCCCCTCGCAGGGCATCCACGCCCCCCCCTCTCCCCCCCCCCAGGGGCCTGGCCAGTGACCCCCCCGCTCCAGGCTCCACAGCCCGCAGACGCGAGCGCCGGTTAATAAATGGCCTTTTGTTAGGAGGTCAATTGAAGTGACGGTGGAGGCGCTGTTAAAAGTAATTTGCAGTCAGAAAATATGTAACTCGGGGCGGCCGCTGAGTGATGGGCTCCGCCGTGGATGTCTTGGGCGTTTCTCATTAGCAGCTTCCGCCGCCGCCGGTGCTCCCTCCGCCGCCCCGCTGGCCTCGGCCCGGCCCGCGGCGTCATTTGTCTGCATTTCACAAAGGCTGCCCGGATCCCCGGGGTGAGCAGCCGGGGAAGGAAAGCCGACGGCGTGCGGGACGCCCCGCAGACGACGGAGCAGCCTCCCTCCGGCGGGCTGGGCTGCGCCCGCGGCCGAGGCCCTTTGTCTGCTCGGCCGGGAGCGGCCATCTTGGACCCGCTGCGGGGCTGCGCGGTGCATTCTGGGAGCGCAGCCCCGCCACCCGCGGTCCCGCCCGCACCCGACAGCGGCGCCGAGCAGAGCGGAGCCATTGTCATCAGTGCCTCGTGCAGGATATTGGAACCCGAGGACGCGAATCTGTCAGCAAATAGAATATTTCTTCTTTATTCCCAGGCTCACCTCCCCCTCCTGCTCTCTCAGATAGTAGAGGCAGTACTATCTTAATAAAGAAAAAACTTACCTCGCATGTTCTTTATTAAATTCACAGCGTGATGTTTCAGCACTAGTAGAATTCGTACATTCTGTTAATGAGTTGTTAATTGCAAAGCATTTTGGTAACCAACAGCAGGTACCCATATTTTGCAAACTGCAGCATTGTTGTTGTTAGGTTACCGATAAGAGGGGATTTTCCAAGTGAAGATACTTTTTGATCAGTGTTTGCTTGGGATTGTGCTGGTGCAGATAATTAATGACAAACCTTCTCTTACTGGGGGCGTGCGTGGGCATTCATTCATTCAATAAATATATACTTTAAATCTCCTGTGTGTGGGGAGCACTAAGCCCGGTGCTTTATGCAGATAACCCTACCTGATAAACGACACTTTAAAAAGAGAAAATGATGCAGTGATGCAACGTGGTATCCTGGGCCCTGCCCTGGGCTCCCAGAAGCTTATTTTCAGCAGACTTAAGTAAAGCATAACTTGGTTTGCTTTTGTCACAAACAGACGCTGGGAGTGCAGCTGCTGCCAGGCTAGGAAACACCTTGATCGGGGATTTGGCTGCATTGTGTTAAGTCTGTTTCCGGAGCCTTTTGTGGGGTCCTGGATGCTGATTACATGGGGGACTTGCATATAGCATTTTGGTTGTTCCTGTTTAGGAGGCAAACTCCTTTTTAATAGCCTCTGCCTTTTCTGATTCTCGGCTGAGAACTAAGAATATTCCTCCTGCCTGCCGAGTTAGGCAGGGTATGCGGTTTGCTTTAGAAGCAGTAACCATCCTTGAGAGATCTGGCAGACCTGCAGCCAGTAGAACTTAATTGTTGCAGAAGGAGGTGGAATTTAACTTGCTCTTTTTCAAGGCTTGTCCTTTTAAAAGTCCTAAAAGTCATTTACATAAGGTGTTACCTTTTTTATTTGCTTTCTGGTGCACTGCCACTCAGCTGCCCAGACCCAGTGCTCTCTATATACTGCTTGTCTCCTCTGGTCACATCAAGGGGCAGTCAGCAGCAGAATAATAATTCCATTTCCCCTCCCTTTCTCCCCAAGTGCCCAGCAAGAACTACAGTCATTGTTAGTGTTTAGCTTTGAGTAAATGCCCACGACCTGCAGGATTAAACACAAAAAAAGGACCTTCCAGTCCTCTTGAGAGTGATGCCTACCACGTTTCTGGTCAGTTACCCTGGGCATGTGCACCCCAAACCCCACCAGCCTCATCTGCTCTTAGTTGCGTGCCCACTGTGTGCAGGGACCGCTCCAGGACCTTCCTGTACGTGACTCTTGACTCTCACAGCAGCTCTGGGACTGTCAGTACCAAGACTCGGTGTCGCTCAGGCTGTGGAGCCTGGACTGGAACCATTCCTTTGCCGCTATGCCGGGAGACTTTCTTCCAGGCATGTGTTTGCAAAGCTCTGTCTGCTGCGCAGCCCCGCTTGGCTGTGGCAGAGACTGTAGGTTTGGAAGTCTGCACCTCTGTAGGAAATAGTACAAGGGAGGGAAATGCAAGGTGGGGTTAAACTTAGTCAAGTCTGACTTATTCTCAGAGAGGCTACTGGTGTCTGTTCAGAGTCAGGCAGCTGGGTGGGAGATTTGAGAATGGTTTGCCTTTGGGTCTGAGTTTAAATTACATGCATACTCAGAGCAGGGACAAGCCCACATTAACTGTGTTAGCTCAGTGTTCAAGGCTAACTTGAGACAAGCAGAGGCCAGTGATGTTTTGAATTCTTGCTCCGAGGAAAGAATCTGGTGGGGTCAGGGCTCCTTTAGCTCTTTCAGGAAGTGGAGCTCAGCTCAGGATATTGGCCCGGCGAGTCCGGTTCTATCTGTGTGAGACTTTGCGTTGTTCACGTTAAGCGCTGAGTTTGAATCCTGTGCTTTCTTTTTCCTTTTCGGAACCAGGACAAGTCCACCATGCCTGAAGTCAGAGACCTTTCAGAAGCCTTGCCGGAGACGCCCATGGACCCCATCACAGGCGTGGGGGTGGTGGCTTCGCGGAACCGTGCCCCGACAGGCTACGATGTAGTAAGTCAGGACTCCGCTTTGTACCTTTTGTTCACGGATTCAACAGATGTTTACCTCCTGTGTTCAAGACCCTCTGAACCTTGTGTGTAAGATATGTTTCTTCCCTCTAGGAACTTAAGCAGGGAGGGGGAGAGCACCAGTGGGCAGGCAGGGGAGTGCCCTGGACTGGGAGTCAGAGGGCCGGAGCCTGTCTGGGCTGTCCCTGGCCGAGTCCCTTGACCTCTGGGACGCTCACTTTCACCTCCTGTAAAATCCAAGGGCTGGATTCATTGATTTCCGGTCACTTCTCGTTGTGACATTGCATGAAAGGATCCAAGTGTCTGGAAGACCTTGGCGATTGTCATAGAGTGTCCCCCACGGACACACGTCACATACAATCGCGCCGCTCTTACCGCTTCCAGAGCAGTGTCCTCCCAGCAGCTCATGGAGCTCACGGCTGCGCTGGGAGGGCCAGTGGCTGCATCTCTGCTGCTGAGGAGAACCCGGGCTCCGGGAGGTGAAGGACAGAGTCCGCGTCCTTGGGGGCAGTCAGGACCCGACCCCCCCCACCCCCAAGCCCAGCCTCTGACTGACCCACCACCGCTTGGCAGGAACGTGCCGTGCGTTTCGGCAGGTGTCGGTGGCGGTCAGTAGCACTGATGGCCGGAACTGGTTCTTCTGTTGTTTCCATAAATAAACTCCGACTTGGGTGGAGCTTTAAAAAATGCAGAGTAACATCAGGAGGGTGTAGTAGACACTGACCCTGGTCCTGGTTCTGAGATTCCGAAGTGGCCTCGCTTCCCTCTTGTTTCGGGCAGCGTTTTATTCTTGTTCCTTGGGAGGGTGTACCAAGACTCGTAAAGAGGGAGGGCCTCGGCAGCCAGCACTGCGGACCTGCCGAGGTGATGAGACGAGTGTCTGGCTCCCAGGCGTGGGGATGCCAGGCCTGGCCCTGAAGGAGCCCCGCGGCAGCGTCTCTCAGCCTTGGCATGATGGACGTTTGGGGCCTGACAATCACATGCCTTTGTGCTGTGGGGCTGTCCTGTGGTCCTAGGATGTCTCGCAGCTTCCTTGGCCTTTACCTACCAGATGCCAGTGGCACCAACCCCCCAAATCGGACAACCAAAGACCTGTCCAGAAATTGCCAGGTGTGCCCAGGCTGAGGAGTGGGGGGGCAGGATCAGCCCCCGCTGAGAACGGTGCCGGGTGCAGGGGTCAGCGGCACTGGGTCCTGTGGGCGGGGAGCAGCCTGTTACAATGCTCCGCGTTACTTTCCCAGCTGTTTGAAAGCTTATAAACATTTTAAACGTGAAGGGACGAGGGAATCTTTTTTGACAAAGATTTGAGTCTTCCTGCTGCCTGACTTCAAAGCACTGTTTGAATGTATAACTTGTCATAAAATAGAATCATTAGGTATGGCTTCGTGCCATAAAACTCTTGAGGAAGCTAATAAAGCTGTTCCCAATTTGGGCAGCCAGTGTCTTTTGATGAATTAGATATGAAGCAGCACGCCGTGGTGGGGCAGGGCCAGCGCTCGCCATCTCTGGGGGGACTGGCCCTGGGTTGCCCTCCTGGGAGGGCTCCTGCTGGGCTCACCCCCTTGGCGCGGGTCTCCCACCTTCGTGCTCTGCCGTTTCGCTGATCTGTGTCCTTCACATTCTGCTGGTGCCTGTGGGGTCGTCTCGGATGCTTGCTGGTGGGCGGCAGATGGCCTTTGATCGTCTGGTTTTCTGAAAGTCTTGGTAAGTCTGACAGGAGCAGAATCCATCCCTATCATTTTCTCCTAACATCGAGCTCAGGGCAGAGGGGCGCAGTGTCAAATGAGTGAAATTAATAAGCACATCTCATGATTATGCCGCGCGTGCATTACAGTGGGGGTGAGCAGGGCAAGGGGCGCCAGGGTCGGCCTGGCAATTACCCAGCCTCCGCGCCGGGACGAGCGTGGCCGAGCTCCTCTGGAAGCCCTTTCTGGGAGAGAGTTGGAATCGTCTCGCTGTGCTGACCTCTGGACTCTTCTAGATACACAGCTGGTTCCCAGAGGCCTGACCCTGAGTTCAAGGGCAATGAGGGGATTTGCTTTTATCTGGAGTTTTGTGTGAAGTCAACATCCAAACCGGAATGTAAGGTGTTTGACGGTGGCTGGGCCGCTGCTTAGAGCCGCTGTGGGTGGTGGCGAGACTCGGCCTGTCCCACCCGCTGGGGAGCGATCTGTCCCTGCGCAGTCACACTGGGCACCGGGACCGCGCAGCCCGAGGGTTGGGCACCAGGTGGATGCCTACCTGGGCAGCACAGCCACTTTCACATGGGCACAGGCCCTGGTGCCGCTTCAAGTAGACGATGCCCAGCATTTGCTTATGAACATTTGATGTTATAGCTCCGCTCCAGGTCAGGGGAAGCTGCCTCTTAGGCGAGGGGCTGAGGATTATTTGCTAAACTTCATTTATTGTCCTGATTCCTGCATTCCTCTCTGAAATAGTGCGCCCCCCCTCCCCCCCCTCTGTTCCATGGCCTCGCTCTCTGGTCTTGGAGTGGCTGCTGCCGGCAGTGGGCGGGTGGGTCTCATGTGTCCTTGTGATGCCATCGCACCTGTATAATGACTCTTTAGATGTCGGGTGTTTGCTGAGGGTAGTACATGCTGTTTTTTTCATACGTGGATGCTTCAGAGTTGCCTAAAGGGTGAGTGAAATGAGACTGGAAGGTGGAGGTGGCTGTGAACTTGGTGCCAGGCCCATGAGCAAGATTGGAGTGGACTGACGAGCCCGGTGGAAGTGGGAGTGACGATGGGAGGCCGCGTGACGGCGGCCTTTAAAGGAGGAGGATAGAGGGAAGTGGTCCCTAGAGGACGACGTGGGCTCATGGGTCTGTTTTTCTTTGTTTAAAGGTGGAAGGTGTTGGGCACGTTCAGTTGCTGATGGGAAGGAACGGAATGGGCAGTGTGTGTGTGGCCGGGGAGCGGGGGGTGGACAGTGTAGGACAGAGCTGCTGGCTGACAGGGCCGAGCTCCAGAGGGCAGAGGACTGGCATCCTGAGCAGCAGAGTGAAGCCAGGAAGTCATGTTTTCTAGCTCTTCTTCCTATGGCTGGGAAGCCAGCTGTGACCTCTGACCTCCGAGGGGGCCTCCCGGGGCTGTGCATGGGCCAGTCATCGGGAAGTCCCCGCTTTCATTCCTTCCTTTCTGCTTTCTCGCTCCCTCCATCTCCCTTCCTCTCAGCACTCCTGTTCATTTCTGAAACCATTAGACCACAGAACATTTCTTAAAAACCATGGGCCTGTATAATTTGTATGTGCCCTAAATGTGTTTGGGAGTTTCTAAATAATTGGAAGGTTCAGTTGCTTGAACGGTCAAGTGTGAGGACTTTGGGGTACCAGGAGCGATCAGCTCCTCTCTGGACCAGTGGGCCCTGTCTAGGGGACATAGAGAGGGATATCTTTAAAACCCTAAACCTGCAAGTAAGGTCCTACATTTTACTCACCCAAGTAGAAAAAGAAAAGAAAAATCTTGTAAGTGCTGATGCAGATTCAAGCAGGCTGGTGTTTTTATATCGTGCTCAAGATATTGTAAAGGTCACATGAGAGCACGTGAAGGTGGCAACGATATCTAATTAGAAACATGGGGTAGATAGTGAGCGAGTGGAGGCTGTCCCGTCTGATCACAGCTGTCACTGTCGCTCCAGAAGCCGCAGTTGGGGAGGAGGGCGAGCAGGGCAGGAAGCCACCCTCTTCCTCCTGGCAGAGGACCGGTGGCCCACAGGCTCCAGGGCTGTCCTCCGGGACCCCTGCCTCTGAGAAGCAGAAGCAGAAGCAAGGCCAGCAGCTTTTTCCTGCTGCCTCCAGTTCCCTCCCCACGTGGCTCTGCCGTCAGGGCTGCTCCCAATTCGGAAATAACCACAGGCTAAGTCCCGCCTCACACGCTGGTTTATTTTCAGAACCAGAGCTTGTGCTGATAAAAGGTACCAGGTGTTCCTCCCTTTAGTTCTGTTAGAAAATACATTAAACTGAGATTTACTGGAAACACGGAAAGCGGTTTTACGACCAGTCCCTAGGCCTTTGTATAACTCTGGCATCTTCCCTGGCCATTGCGCTTTGCCCGGCAGAGCTCCGGCCTCGGGGTGTGGAGCGAGCCAGAGAGGAAGCACATGGGCTACTTGTGCCTGGCATCCAGGAGGTGGGCAAGAAGCAAACATTGGCCTTTGTTAGGATGAGTCGATCAGAAATAGTCCAGCCCAGGTGGCTCAGTGGTTGGGCTTTGGCCCAGGAACCAGGAGGTCAGGGTTCGATTCCTGGTCAGGGCACATGCCCAGGTTGCAGGCTCAATCCCCAGGAGAGGGCATGGAGGAGGCAGCCTATCAGTGATGTTTCTCTCTTATGGATGTTTCTAGCTATCCCTCTCCCTTCCTCTCTCTCTCTAAAAATCAATAAAAACATATTTTAAAAAAGGAAGAGAGAAAGAGTGCCTTAAACTGCCTCCTTCTGAACTTTTCTCCCCGACCAACTAGGAACCTTGGTTTTGACCCAAAGATTGCAATAATGACTTATTCCGTAGTGGAGGGGACCCCGGGGCACTTCCTCTGTTCACTGGAACTTCCTGTCCATTATTTAGGAAAGCTTCTAACAATGAAACCTCAGTTGGTTGGATTAATGGAAAAGATGAGGGACATGCTTTAATTTTCCTTTCATTGTTTTCAGTTAAACTTTCTATTTTGAGATCATTAGAATCCACGTGGAGTCTTAGGAAGTAGGATGCAGAGATCTTGTTTACCCTTTCCCCAGCTTCCCCCAGTGTAACACCTTGCAAACTGTAGTACAATCTCCCAACCTAGATGTTGACACGCATATGGTCAAGACACGGAACATTGCTGTTTTTAAATGTACTGAGGACTTTCTCTTTATTCCGGTGTGGTGAGGCCCACAAATCAGGAGACAACTGCCATCGAAAAGATGGTTTGTTCTCATGGACCCCAGAGGAGGGGCACACCACTCCACGCAGGACCGTGAGGGAGGGAGGGAGCGGAGCCTCCAGG